AATTTTAATTGCAAGGGGAAACCATTGGAGGGTTTTAAATGAGGGAATTATGTGATCTAATTCATGCTTTGATTGAAGAATTTTTCTTTTTGTGTGTCCAAAATGTTGGTAGTAACAAATATGATTACAGTGTACTAAATGTGGTCCCAAAATAAGTTGCTAGGAAGACTCCCTGCATGCTTTTATGTCTAAATTGAAAGTATTCTATTTTGAAAGAATGTTGGAAAGAAAATTAAAAACCTGCTGTGGCTCATTTCCAAGCCTGATGTATATTTTGAACTACAGAATAACGATGTGCCTTAGCTTATCATCAGGAGCTTTACCAGTTCATCTCCCAGCTAGGGCTGCAAGATCCTCATTATAACCATGGAACCTTAGCATGCAGTCACAAGACCTGCAAATTGATAAGTGACAGGGGCTGGACAGGAGCAACTGCAAAACAACCAACCCAGAATGATGAGTATACAGGGAAATAGAAAAGCAAAACTGCACACCATCAACACAAAAAGTTCTTAGTCAAGATTCTAAAATGTGAATAAATATAATATTAGGGAAGGAAAAAGCATTAAATAGATTATTAAATCACTCCAGATGCTTGTTTATTTATGATTGTTAAGCATATAAATGAGAAAAAGACTCATAAAATAGAACATTAAGTATTAAATGTTAAATGAACCAAGAATGGTTGTACATGATGCACTACCACATTAGAAACCCAGAAATTAAAAAGAAAGAAAGAGTGTTCTAGAATGTGATAAGACATAGTTGAAAAGAAATACTTGGTTAATTATTATCTTAGTTTGTTTTGTATTGCTAAAATAGACTATGACAGAGTGAGTGTTTTATAAAGAAATTTATTCCTCATAGTTCTGGAGGCTGGGAATTCCAGGATCAGGGTTCCTGTGTATCTGTGTGTGGTAAGGACCTTCTCCCTGTTTCATGAATGGCACCTTCTACCTGTGACCTCACACAGTGGAAGGGATAAGGTAGCTCTCTGGGCTTCCTTTATAAGAGCACTAATCCTGTCCATGAGGGCTTTATCATCCTCATGGCCTAATCACCTCCCCAAAGCCTCCACACCCACTTCATAACATCATCTTGGGAGTTAGGATTTCAATATATGAATGGGGAGGGGGTCACAAACATTCAGACCACAGCACTGGGAAGCTAGCTAGAAATGTTTGCAGTAGTCCAGACAGGAGATATGGTATCTTGACCTCTTATGTATTTCAAAGCCACAACTTATTGTTTTGTAGAAAATCTGACAGCATTTGCTTATGAGTTGGGTTTTAGGGGAGGGTAGTGAGGAAAAGGGTTCTCAAGGGTACTGATGAAGTCTAACCCTGRACATGGCACCTTTAAATAATTAGGGAAGACAGAGGAACAATTTGGGGTGAGGTTGGAGGGGAAGTATCCACAGTTCCACTTTGAACATATACAAATGGCAAAGCCTACTTCCATTTAAGCGGACATGTGGAGTAGGCATAGGGGAGAACCTACAACTAAAATTTTTGATTTGCCACAAGGACTTTGTTTCTTTCTGACAATTGTGGCTTTGAAAAATTACATTAGGTTTGTGGAAAAATTTTAGTAATTCACAGAATGGAAAGTATTGTGAAGAATGCAGTCCCTCAGTTTGGCACATCCTTAAGAGTCAATAATCCACATGGTTAGTTATCTAGTTATAAAAGAATTCTGAAAAAGACCGAACAATAAAAGGTTATAACTAATCTGATTACAGCATAACTGGCTGGTTAAAACATACAATTTGACAGAAATAAGAGAAGGTTGAACCTAAGAAATCATGCAAAAGACTATAAAACTAAATTTAAAACTTTAGTTATCCATAGTAACAAGGATTATTCTAAGTCAATCGAATTCTTAGCCACACTAATTTAAATTTCTCCTAAATACCAACTTCAATTCAATGCTATAAATATTTGTTGAAACTTAAATTCACAGATGGTACTATTCTAAGCAGGATGGGTATAATCTGAGTTAACGTGAAATTCTTTAATATTTTATTGAATTGCATTTAAATAAGAAATACAAATTTTTAAATGTGTTTCTCTAATAAGTGAAATTTCCAGGTGGTCACTGAAATAAGCCGCAATGAAACCAAAGGTCTAATAGTATAGATTTTTCTTCTTAAGGGCAAAAGTCAGTAGAAAAGTCCTTGGAAGGAACTATTTGGCTCTGTGATAAGTAATAGGTACTCTATTATAGATTCCCCTCTATTGTCTAGCTTCAACACATTGCTTAGGAGCTATGTTCAATTATAGCCTTTCGACTCAGAAATCAAAGGATTTAGGGAAAACAGGTTTCCAGGGTCAGTCACCAAACTGTAGATAACTATTGTGGAATGTCTGTCCCTAACTTGAATCCTGGGCTAGCAGTCAGTTAGGATCTTGAGAGTGGAAGCTAAGACTTTAAAGTACACAGCACCCTCCCTCCAGTAAGGTGAGAGTTTAAGGCCCACTCTCAGCAGGCCTAGGCAAGAGGCAAAAATATCTTCTATTGGTTCTGCAAGCAGAGAGGAGTTGTTACAGAATAGGGGAGATAACCAAAATTTGGGCTGTTCTCCAGTTATGTTCAGGGCATGGTGCTCAGTAGGAGCTTAGTGAATGTTGCACTGAATGAAAATAAAATATACAGTTCCAGCCCCTGTATAGCCTCAGTTGGGCAACTTCATCTCTCTGAACCTTTGTTGTTTTATTGAAGAAATAAGATCTACATTATAGGGTGGTTTCACCTTTTTTGTTAGCCTTCAATGGTAGGTAGGTGATCTTAACCAGAAAAAATACATTTTTTCCCTTTTGAGATTCAATAAGGTTGTTTTTGTTTAGAATTTTTTAAGTTATACATACAAAAAAAAGTTGTTCATCATATGTCTGGATCATTTGAAAGACTCTAGAATTAAAAGGCTAGACCAAACCAATGGCTTTTCAAATGTCATTATCCAATAGCTCTGTGGTCTCAAACCATTCACAATTGTAAACAAGTGACATATTGGCTTGGGTTGGKTCCAAACAACCACTGATCCTAACAGGCCCTTCTGGGTCCCAGATTTTCCTTCCCATGTTATTTTATTCCATTGGGGATAGTAAAGGATCATTAATTTGGAGAAATGGTTCTCAGCTCTGACTGCACAATAGAATTATCTGGCAAGAATGAGCTAGGAAGTCATTTTTGAAAACATAGTACTTGAGACCCACCTTCCACAATTTCTGATTTGTTAAGTTTAGGTTTTTGCCTGGACATCAGCACTTTCCCAATCTCCCCAGGTGATTTCAACGTGCATCCAAGGTTGACACCACCAAGTAAGAGAGTGAAATCTGGGCCCTAGTAGTGTTTTGACTACACACTAGCACACTGTTGTCCCCGCTAGAGCCTTGATGGTAGGCAAAAATACCCATTGCAATTCTAAGTACAGCTGACCACACACAGTCTACCTCACCCTAGCAATCACTGCAACAGGAGGGATGACTACTTCAGAGCATGCTCTCTGGCTTTTTAAACCCAGGCCTAATTTCTCAACATAGGCGGCAAGTGAAAGACAAGAGACTCTCCTGAAGAATTTTTTTTGTTTGGTACCAGAAATTGAACCCAGGAGCATTTAATCACTGAGCCACATCCCCAGCCCTTTGTATTTTTTGAGACAGGGTCTGACTAAGATGCTGAGGCTAGCTTTGAATTTACAATCCTCCTGTCTCAGCCTCCCAAGCTGCTGGGATTATAAGCATGCACCATGGCACCCAGCTCCCTAAATTAGCCCCGAAACAGAGAAGTGATAAGTAGATATGTTAAATAGCTAGGGTTATATCTGACTGGAAGTGGTAGAAAACTCAAGAGAAGAATGGCTTCTGTAAGGTGGAAAGTATTTCTTTCTCACAAACATAGGCAGTCCAAGGCTGATGTGGTAGTGTCACAGTCAGAGGCCAGGCTTCTTTCATCTTGCCTATCATAAGAAGAAAGCTGCAATTTCAGACATTGTGTGAACACTCCAGCCTGCAAGGAAGAGAGAGGGAAGGGAAAGGTGCAGGCTCTCTTTGCACACACTTCCCTGACGGTGCTTACAGCCAATCATTTGTATCCCAATGACAAGCATTTAGTCAAATGGCCATGTCTACTTTCCAGGGAGGTTGGCCCAAAATAGCCTATGCTGAAAGCCACRCACCCAGCTGAGGATGGGGGCTCTTTTGCTCTTGAAACAAAAGGAATAGATATTTGGAAATGGCCAACAGTCTATGCCTCAGGGGTCCCCTCTCCCACCTCATGCAGCTGGATTAGAACTATTGTTACGTGTAAACAATGTGTTTTACTGGGGTCCCCCAAAAACTACTGACAGGAGGCTATTTTTCTTACATTCTGAATTTCAGCAGCTCTGGCTCCCACTGCCCTAAGAAATCACCAATCCAACAAAAAAATAAGGAGTTGTTCAGAAAATCAGCCCCTAAATCCAATGCCTGCCCAGTGTGGCAGAGTGAGTGCTCACACTCAGAGGGAAAGGACTCTCCTCCCTGCAAATTTCTGCAAATTGATACTGATGGCAGGAGAGCTTGCTCTTATTCATCCTGGAAGCAGCACAAATTATTTTCACGGGGTCGTAAATATGTTGAACACTCTGTTATACTAACCTCTTAAACCAGTTGTCTTGAGCAGCTACAAATCATAGTTCAGGAGCAACTTTCTAAGATTCCAAGGCCCCTGACATTCCTGGATGCTCAAGCTAAATACCTGGGATTAAGAGTGAAGGGTATATAGATTTTGCTACAAAATTCATTTCAAAGAGAAGGGGAAAAGTCCTTTGGCCTGATGCCTAGTTTGTCATAGTCATTTTGTTGTTGTTGTTTTTTGTTTGTTTGTTTGTTTTTTCAATTTTATTTTATTTATTTATTTTTAGTTTTTAATTTTTATACTCTTTACTCAGCCAAGGCTCAGGTGACAACTGGTGTTCAAACTACCTTCCTGCATTGAATTTCTCTTTCGTCCCTCCCCAGTGTTCCAGGACATGTGGTGGAGGTGTTCAGAAACGTGAGGTTCTTTGCAAACAGCGCATGGCTGATGGTAGCTTCCTGGAGCTTCCAGAGACCTTCTGTTCGGCCTCCAAACCGACTTCCCAGCAAGCCTGCAAGAAAGAGGACTGCCCCAGTGAGTGGCTCCTCTCAGACTGGACAGAGGTATGATGTCCCCTAGATGGAGAGAACAAGAGGCATGAGTAGGAAAAGTGACCCCAAACACATACATGGGAAAGACAAGAGAACCAAACAATTCTCTGAACACTACAGGGCAGTATTTTGTAACTATTTATACCATAGTATGTAACTAGCTTTTAACTAGGCTACAGGGACCTGTGCTATGTGGCCAGCCCTTACCCGACATTCGGAAGCTAAGGATTGTAAATGGGCTCCTCTTGGAACAAGACCAGAACACGGGGTTCTTCTCCCTAGAGCTCCACTCCCTCCCCCTCCTCCTGACCTCCCAGCACCTCCTACTCCCAGATGTTTCTAGTCTCTGCTCAGGGAGGGCAAAGCCTCTAGTTCTTTTCTTCCAAGTTACTGGACAATAAAGGATATGATTTATTAGGAAAAGAAGGCCAAGGAAATCCTGCCTTTTTACTGTTAGTTTCCTGGCTTTTAAGCTTCAACAACTTCCCAGCAAGAGAATTTGAGTTCCCCTGTTGCCCTACATTTGGGGCAGCAATTGCCTCAGTATCCACCACTCCCCGCTTCCCCTCCCACATTAGCATGTACCTCCAACTCACCTATTTTTCTAAATAATTCCTGTTCTACCATCAGCATGAATTAATTCATTTACATGCAGTTTCAACACATTTGTTCTCAGCCCCTGTGACTTCTTTGAGTTGCCTTGACTTCTGCAGCTCGATAGCTGTATGTCTTCCCTAGTAAAGTCCCTATATTATGGGATCACAAGCAAATTAAACCAAAACCAGGATCAGTAGGCTGGAAGTGAGAAAACGCATTGTTTAAAAACAGATTCAAGATCTTCTCCTTTCTCCCATAAGCATTTGAATTGGCCTCCTCCATGCTTGGCCTGTTTTATATGGAGCTGCTGATAGTTGAAATACACAGAGACATTTGCTTTCAGAGGGGAAAACTGCCTATGAGAATTAAGATACCAGCTCACTTAACATAGGTCCTGAGAATTCTTGCCCCACACAGTATCAACCTGTTCAGAGTCTAAGGACACCACAATTGAGAGCAAACTACATTACCACAGGTTTTACTGTTTGAAAGAAAAATCATCTCTGGCAGTATCACACTCCAGATATCCCAGAACGATAAATGACAAAACAAATAAATGATAATTTTTTTTTGTATTTTAGAAACAATTTGATTTCAGCAGGATGCACACTTAAAAGTGTAGAGAAGATAGACATGTATATACTCAAGTGTGTCCATGCTCACACGTGGACATCTGAGGGACCATTCTTCCATGGGAATATTGATTTGGAGTATGATATATGCATGAAAAAAATATAATAGAAACAGCAACTCAGGAAAGATCCCTGATGTATTTGCCAAGTGGTTCTAGGCAAGGACATCTCTCAGTGGAGTACTGTAAATGTATTCCTCTCCTAAGTCTATGAGAAAATAGCCTGTCATGAGTGGTATTCCWAGGAAAGGATTCATGTGTGTCATCATTGTCCTCTCATCTTCTTGCATTTGATAGGCTTTAGAGGATATAGTACCCAGAAAATTCAGAAAAAGAGTTCTCTTATGTCTGCAGTTTTAAGAGAGAGACACACTCATGATTAGGCACTAAAGGAATACCACTGAAGTAAGGTCCCATTTAATAATGCAGGACTTTAGAAAGGTGTTATGGATATTTAGGAATTAGACTCAAGGCAAGCAAAGCAAGCTTTAAATCCTGAGTGATGATTACTGGTTGTATAACCTTGAGCTAATTAACCTTCTGGGTCTTTATTTCCTTACCTATAAACTGGAGATATAATATTATCCACATACAAGTAAGAGGCTTAAATTAACTGATACATATAAAATACATCATGCCTAGTAAAAGTTACCTCTTATTATGATGATGATTCTCTTCCAGCTGGGCTCATTGTCAGGAGAGGAAATTATAGGAAGCACCAGCATTGATTGACTGGACTCAGGGCCACAGCCCAGGTCTCCCACGGGCTTTGCTGGTTTTCTGAGGAGGAAAAGATCATGCTTGGAGAACCAGGAGGAATTATCCAGAGAGTCTGACTAGGTTCTGTGCTATCTGGGTTGGTTAGCAGAAATTCTGAACACTGGGGAGGGGCCTGGAATGGTGGGAAGCAATCACCAAATCACTGGGGTTACTCTCAAGTCGTGCCGGGGAAATGTACTTCTGGAAGCACTCACAAAGGCCCACTCTGCCATCCCCAGGGCCATTCTGTGGTCCCCTTGCTGAGATGAGATGTTCATTCCATACTACACACACACACACACACACACACACACACACACAATGCCTTTTGGATAAAAGAGAACTGGATGATCTATGGGTGTTTTTGTCCTTAGTTCTCTGGGCTCAGTCTCATGGTTACTGCATAGAACTCCTCAGAGACAGAAGTAAGCCAAAGTTTTAGACATTTCCAAAAAAAAATTACTTACAGATTCTATTCTGAAATGAAGACCTCTCAAAAGACTATCCTTCTCTTTTAAAAGAAACCCTTCAATCTCCTGAAAGAGTTAGCTACTAGATATTTTTAAATCATATTTTTATGAAACTTGTCCCCATCCCCCAAAATAAAAGAAATTAAAGTCAGGGTAGTCCATTTGAGAATGAGAAGGACCTTGGAAGATCCTGTAGTCTAATCTATTTCTTTTTAAATTAAAGCCTCAGGAGCCTTTTAACAAGTGAAATGTTACTATGAAGTCCAAATTCTAAAACAGATAGAATGAGAGCCACTTCAAAGGAAGCATAGATGGAACCTTCAGATTTCCAGTGGTTGGGTCTCCCCATCCCCTGAATCACTTCCCATTGTAGTTATGCAACACTCTCTGGCAATCCCTACTGTGGCTTAGCTTCCCCATTTCAAAGATGTGGAGATTGAGGCTAGAGAAAGCACTAGACTGATCCAAATCATAATCCAATCTTCTGATCTGTAGGCGAACTATTTTTCCGTGTTTTTACTTGGGCAGCACTAAAATGACCATGATTTTAAAACATTCAGCCTCCTTTCCCCCATCCCACCTGACCCTTGGATTCAGTACTGTCATTTACAATAAAATAAGTGATGGGTGGAATCTGTAATCCACAATCGTTAGTAACAAAAGCAGCACGTTTGATTCTCCTCTCCATCTTTTGCCTCTTAAATTTCTTTCTGAGTGGCCTATGTCGCAGTACTTTGCACAGATTAGTGTCATTTCAGTGTGCTAGCATATAAAACTTGAAAATATAAGGTAACTCTGTTGGGTTTTACCGTCATTTTTCAAGTTCACATGGCACGCTGCCATGACCCCAGTTCAGGCCTTCATCATCTCAGCCTGGACAGTGTGCGACTCCTTCACTGACATCCTTGCCTCCCATCCTTCTGCACACTGTTGCCAGATTCACCTTCTCAAAACACCTCTTTCATCATGTCACTCCCCTCCTCAATGGCTTCCCATTGCCCTGTGGACCAATTCCAAACCTTCTGTCTGAAAATTAAATAAGTCTCCAAAGTCTGGCCCTAAACTACCTGTCAAGCTGCTCAATGCTCTTGGGGTGGCTCCTCTGTTCAGACAGGTTTGGTTCTGCCCCCAAGCCTGCCCTGGCCTTCTACCCTGAATTCTTCTGCCTTTATTCTGGAAATTTCCCTGCCTCCCATGCTTATCCATGTTGCGTTACACCCATCTTCAAGTTCTAGGTCAGGACATCCCTAGTGGACCATAAGCATTTGATAATTGTTAGCATTAATTTTATAATACTTCATTTGTTTTTCTAATTATGCATTCTTATCAAATACTTTACTATTTAATCCTATAGGCAACTTTATTGATATATAATTTATGTATTACATGTAGCACATGTAAGAACTGTATTCCTTTTTTAAGACTGAATAATATTTCATAGTACAAAGGTACCAAATTTTGTTTATTCATTTACCAATTGATGGACATTGGGTTGTTTTCACTTTGGAGCCATTACAAATACAGGAACATTTGCATAAGTTTTTATGTGAATATATGTTTTCACTACTCTTGGGTAGACACCTAGGAATAAAATTTCTGGGTCCTACGTTAAATGAACTTTTCAATAAACTATTAAACTGCTTTCTTGGGGAGCTGTAGGAAGCTGTTTCATCTTACATTCTCAGCAGCAACTTCATTTGTTTGCTAATGAAAAGGGTTCACATTTTCCTACCACTTGCCAAAACTTACCATTTTCTGTCTTTTTTAATATGGTTATACTAGTGAATACAAAATGATATGACATTGTCATTTTGATTTGTATTTCCCTACTATACTATTTCTTTTTAACAATACATTTGACTCCCACACATACCTTTCATTTGAATGACCCCTCCTTGAAACTAGCAACTGTCTTTCACTTCCTTCAAACAAAGCAGGTTTTTCATAACAATTGTCTGATGGTAGGCATCAAAATATTAGTTATCTGTGAAGGAAGGAGAAGGGGATCCGCATTAACATTATTTTGTGTAAGGCATTTTTAAATATATTATCTCATTTAATTTACAGGCTTCTAAATTAAATGTAAGAAATAGAAACCGCCTTAGAGATATTAAATCCCTTGCTTTCTAATAAAATGCTGAGCTGGGATTTGAACATGGTACTCTATACTCTTTCCTCTAAAGTCATATAAATAAAAACAGGTAAAATACCAGTAGGAAATTTTAGAGTGGAAAATACTAGCGTGGAATGTGTCTACAAGATCTCATGTATTCCACATTGTTATTTCATAATTAATATTTCTCTCTCTTTCAGTGGCTGTCGCTTTTCCAAGCCACTTTTCTCATATTTTGGTGAGTTTGAGAGTCCATACAAAAAACATTAGCCTATAGTTCTCTGAATTTTTATGCATTTGGCCTCTTTCTTTCCTCACCAGTGTTCCACGAGCTGCGGGGAGGGTACCCAGACTCGAAGTGCCATTTGCCGGAAGGTGCTGAAAACCGGGGTCTCCACAGTTGTCAATTCCACCCTGTGCCCTCCCCTGCCTTTCTCTTCCTCCATCAGGCCCTGCATGCTGGCAACCTGTGCAAGTGAGTATGTCAGAGCTCTGGGATGGAGACAGAACCCCACTTAGTAGCAGCCACTGTGCAGGGGCCTTCCCTAAACCAAGACCAGTGGCAGACGGTTGGGCAGCAGAGCCTTTGGAGGGCTGCAGGCTGGAGAGCTCAGCTGGAGGTGGAAAAGGAATCTTAATCACATGTGGCCAGGCTGAATTCTCTTCGCCACAGGAAAAACAGTTTGCAGGGGGGGAAAGTTCACTTGCTGGCATACAGAGATCTGGGAGCTAGAGGCAGCATATTACTAATGAAGTCTAATGTTATCCACTCTGGGGTTTTAAACTACTCTGAGCAGATTTGTTCTGTTCAATATTAATCCCTAGAGTTGTAAAGCTTCTGGACTCTCCTCACTGTAATTTAGGGCGCTGGCACTTTGCGGGACCTTAAGTAGACATTTAGTCGAAAATATTCCCCTTCTCTATCCTCTCTGCCTCTTTTTATGATGCTGATTTCTTCTTTCAAATGCTTTTAATGAGAGGAACTGCCTTTTCCCCAGGGCTCTGTTCCACCTAGGACCCTGCACCTCAGCTTCCAGGCCAGAAAGACCCAGTAGGGTGCTGCTTGGGGTGCCACAGCCCCTCATGAGTTCTCTGTTTGGGGGTAGAGGTAACTTGATGGTCCACAGCTGGTAGCCAGCTTCTCTTCTAAGCCATGAGGTGTTTGTTAATGATGGCCCTGGTCGAAATCACTGCCTAAGAGCTCTTTCCTTTTTGTCCCATTTGTCCCCTCTCACGGCTGCATCTCACTGCGCTTCTTCTCTGCTCTTGTCTTCTCTTCCTCGGTCTCTCTGGCATCCCTCTCATGCCAGGGCCTGGGCGGCCATCCACAAAGCACAGTCCTCACATCGCAGCTGCGCGGAACGTTTACATCCAGACTCGCCGGCAGAGGAAGCTGCACTTCGTCGTGGGTGGGTTTGCTTACCTGCTTCCGAAGACGGCCGTGGTGCTCCGGTGCCCCACGCGCAGGTTCCGCAAGCCCCTCATCACCTGGGAGAAAGATGGCCAGCATCTCATCAGCTCCGCCCACATCACAGTGGCACCTTTTGGCTACCTGAAGATCCATCGTCTCCGGCCCTCAGATGCGGGCATCTACACCTGCTCTGCAGGACCCGCCCGGGAGCAGTTTGTGATTAAGCTCATTGGAGGCAATCATAAGCTTGTGGCCCGGCCCCTGAGCCTGCGGAGTGAGGAGGAGGCCCTGGCAGTGAGGAAGGTCAGCCCCAAGGAGGCCCTGCAGACCCATAAGCACCAGAACGGGATCTTCGCCAATGGCAGCAAGGCTGAGAAGCGGGGCCTCCCTGCTGACCCAGGGAGCCGCTACGATGACATTGTCTCCCGGCTGCTGGAGCAGGGGGGCTGGCCCGGAGAGCTCCTGACTTCCTGGGAGGTGCAGGACTCCATGGAAAGAAACACGTCCTCAGAGGAGGACCCGAATGCCGAGCAGGCCCTTCTGCACCTGCCCTTCACCATGGTGACTGAGCAGAAGCGCCTGGACGACATCCTCAGGAACCTCTCCCAGCAGCCTGAGGAGCTGCGCGACCTCTACGGCAAGCACCTGGTGGCCCAGCTGGCCCAGGACATCTTCCGTAGCCACCTTGAGCACCAGGACATGCTCCTCAAGCCCTCCGAGCAGAGGTTTCCCCCCGTGGCCATCCCTCCTCATAAACATGTGTCTGGCTTCAGCAGCTCCTTAAGGACCTCCCCCGGGGAGGCTGGGGGCGGCTCTCGCCGGCCACACCGCAAGCCCACCATCTTACGGAAGATCTCAGCTGCCCAGCAGCTGTCTGCCTCGGAGGTGGTCACTCACCTTGGGCAGACTGTGGCGCTGGCCAGCGGGACACTGAGTGTGCTGCTACACTGTGAGGCCATAGGCAACCCAAGGCCTACCATCAGCTGGGCCAGGAACGGGGAAGAGGTTCAGTTCAGTGACAGGTGAGCTACTTGGTGGAAGAAGGGATGGGAAGAAGGGAGGAGGAGGCCAGGGACCACATCTTGCCCAAACCAGGCTGTTCACACATCCTCTGAGGTGTTTCCAAGGGTGGGGCTAGAGCACAGGGCCTGGGAATCTCCTCCTGGGTTTCAGGCCCTCTCTCAGCACTGATGGACTGTTGGAGCAAACACAAGGTATTTAATTTCTCTACACAGTATGTTCTTATCTTTATAAGGCAAAAGCAACACTGCCTACTCACCCCTATCCCCAGAGGATCCCAAAGATGAATGAGATACTCTCTGGATGACTTTGAACTTTTGGCAGAAAGATAACATTCCAKGCCGAGGCATTATTATGTTTCTCCTCTGAGATGAACCACTGAAAAGTTTCAACACCAGGACACACTCTCCATGTGTGGTCACGCAGGGCTGGGGAGTGTGCAGCCAGCACCTGCTGCTCCCCATGAGTGAGCCTGTCCTTTCTCTGGACTGGACAAGGCTATCTATTCCAGAAAGTTTTTATTCCCAGTTGGACCTGTGATTAATTATTGTAATATCTCTTGGGGTCTCTATTTTGATGTGTCCTTATTGGGGTGACAGCATCGTACCATTTACTGGTCTTCCTAGGCCATGGCCATTCATATTGTTAAAATCAACAGTGGTAGTAGAAAAATAAGAACAACATTTTTTTAGCACAACCTGTGTGCCAAGCCCTGTGCCACACGTTCTACATACTTTGTTTTTCTTTTACTATCTGCAAGGACCTTAAGAATAACCATAAGCAGCTGCTATTATAACTGAGTAGTTACTATCTACCAGGAAATCTCCAAGGTCCCTTCTGCCTCCTCCACCCATTTACAAACAGCCACAGAAGGTTAAAACCCATATGTTGATGGGAATGAGGGAGGGTCTTCAGCATAGTAACTTCAGAATTTGCTATACAAATCGCTTCTGAGTATCCCACAAACCAAGGGTCCAACGATGACATGAGTTTGAGAAGTGCTCAGTTAAAGCTAAACAGATGTATTTACTGCTGCATTTTATTTCTATTTTTTAATATAGCACTTGATTTTTATTATAAAGGTAATAAAAGGGCTATCAAATGATATCCAAATCTATAAAGTAAAAACAGCAAGTCTCCCACATCCYTCCAATCATATTCCTCAGGGCAATCACTCTTAATAATTTGATATACGTCCTTTTAGAATTTTTATGTGTTTTATTGTATTATATAAAAATGTATATGCACACATAGGATTTGGATTTTTTAATGGGATATTAGTCATGTTCAGAAATTTGACTCGGTTTTTATTTCACATGTCTAGGAGACGTCATAATAGTAGTAGAGATCTATGTCACCTTTTTAACCACTGATTATTGTTCCTGAATACATTTAACTATCCCCCATCTGAAAATTACCTTGATTTTTTTCCWTTTTTWAAAACTTTTTAAAGCATTCCAGTGTGTGTTGTGACTTTCTAAGTGGACAATAGAGAATGTAGTGTTTCCAAACTTATCCTTTGATCACTGAACAATTTTTTGGCTTAGTAATCTCAAGAACACCAATAATTCCAGAAGCATTTAGAAAGCACTGCCTTAGCCTTTTAGTTTGTACCTTGATGGGCACTGAGAGTCCAACCCTAAACCTAAGGTAGAGAAGGTGCAGCAGCATCTTTCTGGGAAAAGCAACATGGCAGCCAGCTGCTAAAGATACTAAAGTGTTGAACCTAAAACAACAGAGGGCACATCTTGGATCCCCAGTCACCCAGAATATTAATTGGGTATTGGTGTAGCATTAGAGGGAAGGCATCTGGGGTCCAGGGACAAATAATTTTTGACATCATCAAGATTTCTTTTTCTAGATTTAGCCTTGAAAACACATTTCAATGTGCATTAGTTGCATGCAGTTAGGAAAAATAAGACATTTCTGTTTCTGATCTTTGTCATTATAATTTTTTTCCATTTTTACTTGTGGCTGGCTGGTAAGAAATGTGAATGAAGCTTGGATTTCTATATACTTTCCCAAGTTCTGTTTGAGAAAAAAGAGTGAGCAAATCTGCTGAGAGTGTGTAGGAGGCATGGGCTGCCACTGGGACTGCTTTGCTGTGGGGTCTTGGTGACCTGCTCTGTGTTGGGTGTCATTGCTTGTCATTACTGCATCTGGTAGCAGTTCAGAACTACTGATTCATTTCTAACAGAAAAGTGCCAAAATATCCAATTGTATGATTCAGTTAGCCTGATTTTTTCTTAGTGCTCAAGTCTACCTTTCTGTGAATCTGCAAGATTCAGTTGCCTGTGGGTCGGTAGGACTTTTATTAAGGTAGACTATAAGTAGCCTGAACTAACAGGAGCAGTTCAAGGTAGAAAGCAAGTGATTGAGAGAATCCTACCATTTCTCCAACTTTGAAATATGCCAAAGCTTCATTTAAAAGAAATTGGTTTTACTAAAGGATCACTAACAATTTAGATACAACTGTGTGTGTGTGTGTGTGTGTGTGTGTGTGTGTGTGTGTGTGTATAATTTACTAGTTGAAATGAAGTTCACATGATGCTCGGAAGCATATGTCAACTTCTCAAGCAGTGGTTTCCTGAGTATCCCTGAGTGTATTATGACAGGCTGTTTCATCATAATCCCCACTTTCTTCTTCCTTTATTCCACAAACATTCCAATATCAGACCCTATGTTTGATTCTGAGGATAGAGGAAAAGAAGACTAATTCCTTATTGATGAAATTCAACATCTAGTTGGAAAGCCAAAAAAACAAAGGCTGTATTAGAAGTGCTGAGCGAGAGRCACGCATAATTATTTATTCCATAAGTATGTATTAATCTTCCTCCTATATGCCASCTATACATCAACTCACTGGGAACCCTGTGGTGAGTGAAGCAGGAGTGAGGGTTTTCTGGTAGTTGGCATGCATTTCRAGTTCTGCTCAAATAACCCATCAGAGAGAGCTTCCCTAATCATTCTATCAAAAAGCACACCCCTCATCACTCTTTATCCCTTCAACTCTGCTACTTTATTAGTAGAATTTATCATCATCTAATGTATAATTTACTTGCTGATTGCCTGTCCACAAGGACAGAGACTTTCTTCATTGCTGTATCCCCAGTGCTTGGAAGTCAAATAAGTCATAAATAGTCAATGAATTAATTTGTTAATGGAGCAAGACAACAAACACAGAAAATACCAGATAGGATAAGTGGGGGGAAAATTAAAACAGAAAGGGTATAACTTGGTGACCACTTTAGATAGGTACTCTGTGAAGATTACATGTAAATCAAGTTCTGAATGATGACCAGTTTCCAGAATGTGATGTCAGGAAGAAGAGCCTGCCTGGACGAGGAAAAAGCAGTGCAAAAACCCTACAGGGAAAAGAGTTTTGTGTGTTGAAGGAGCCTTAAAAGAAGGTCATCTGGCTGGAATGTGGGATGGGATGAGGCTTGAGGCTAACCAGAGTCCCAGAGAAGGAGTTGGGGTTTTAGTCTGAGTTCCAAGGGAAAATTCTGGAGGATGTTAGGCAGGGGGATTGCAGAGGAGCATGAGTAGAACCTGGGAGGCTGTGGAGGGCTCCAGGGCATTATTCCCTTCAATGCTATAAATATTTTCTGGATAATACAGTGATAAGTATAAGGAAGTGAGATGAGAAATAAGAGCACTGTTCTTCAGAAAACAAAAAACACTTCAAGTGCTCTGCATGAAACTCCAACAGGCAGAGTACTTTTCTTTAAACTTCTGGACTTTAAATAACTGGACAGAAGGAGGGTTCCCAAATTCAGTGCACATAATAATTACCAGGAACCTGTTAGTATGCAGACTCTCCCCTGGCCCCAGAATATCTTTCTGTAGTAGAAACCCATAATTTACATTTACATTTAAACAGGTTCCTCTACAGCTCCATAGCCAGAAGCTCCTAGGACCACCTCTAGGAAGCACTGAAAGAGAAAAGAGAAGATAGTGAATCCCAAAGTAGAACTACATGCTAGATTTTAATCTTGTTAAAAGACTTGGTGGAGGTAGACAAGTCTCACTGCTGAAATGACCCTTGGGAACGGGGTGGCGGGGAACGGGGTGGGGGGTGCTCTCCTTTCCACACTCTCCTGTCCTCTTGTCTTCCCTCCCAATATTTCATTCACTCGGGTCCTTGAATTGGAGAGAGACCGGACTGTGAAAATGCAAGAGGCTGGGGTATAAAAGAAGCAGAGAGAGGAGAAGTTAGATTCCAAAACTGCTGCCAGTTTTCTGGAAAAGTCCTGGACTGGTTGAAGGTTGAGATGACTATGTGTGGCCACTTGAGAAAAAGAAGCAGAACTGGGCTTCTCAGCACAGCCATCAGCTTGAGTTAGCAGTTTTCTTCAAGGGCCTGTTCCACCTGGGTTTTTCTGTTTGGTTCGTTTTTTGGTTTTCTTTCTTTCTTTCTTTTTTATTTTTTTTTTTTATTTTTTTTTGTTTGGTGCCAGGGATTGAACTCAGGGGCACTTGACAATGAGCCACATCCCTAGCCCTATTTTATATTTTATATATCAACTGAATTGCTGAGCGCCTCACTTTTGCTGAGGCTGGCTTTGAACTTGCAATCTTCCTGCCTTAGCCTCCCAAGCGGCTGGGATTACAGGCATATGCCACTTCCCTCGGATGCCACCTGGCTTTGAAAACAAGAGAATGTGGCCTCATTTTCTCTTTGCTGTCATTGCTGAATTCTCCCAGTTATATGGATCTGTAATTGACAGCTATTACCATGTTGCTCACTGCAAAGTCCCCGAGAAGAGAATGTGCTAGATTCACGCCATGGGCCTTGTACACTTGAAGCTACCTTCATGGTTTGAAACCATTAATARTACAGCCCTGGAGTAGCAACTTAAACCCCCAAAATAGTTTACATGTAGAATTCTATTTTCTATGTTTAACTCCTCAAGTTTATTGATCATGGATGTTTTAATATTTCCACTCAGTTTATTACAAAATTGGCTTCTCCTTGCCCCACTCATGTTCTAAGGCTGCA